ATGATGATTTAAAGAACTAGAAAGACACTCAGATAATTTACTACAACTAGTACAAAACTAAAATCTAACTTATAGAAGGAGGATTAAGACTTTTTTATGTTAATTCCATAAAAATAAGCTGCGCTCACCACATTGTTTCGGGAACATAATTATATTATAGAAAGATGCATCACATTCCTGTCTAAAACTCAAACAAAAAAGCACCTGTAAATGATACTTTTAAAGTTTCTGGCTTTTAACGGTTGCTTATTTCAAGGGGAGTAAGCTTCATTATTATCTTTGTGGATAAAAACCGTCAACCTCTTAGGCAACATTTTAAAAATAATGCGGGTGCAAATGTTGTCAAGAGACTGATTTTCTTGCAGTAGGAATAGAACTCTTGTGTATCAAAGTCCTGATAACTTCCTGGGTGGGAACTAACTTTTTCATAAAAGGCACATTTCAATTACGCCACTGCCATCCACATTTTCTTTCTTTCTTTCTTTTTTGTCGGGAGGGGGAGGATTTCATTCCATAAATGCATTTACATTTTTCAGAGGTTTGCTGCTTTCAGCATTATTAACTTGCACCACTTTTAAGAATTTTTGGAGTGGGGGATAAGGTTACTTTCAGAAATTCACAGTATTACCGACTCAACTTTTACACGAAATAAAATAAGTGTATCATCCAAGGCTATACTACAAACTAAATTTTCCTCAAAGTTAAATATTGTAGACAGTTATGGTCAAAATTCGACTGTGGTTGTCATCAGAATTTTCATTTTGACAGAGAATAAGGACAGTTTTTTTTATTAGAACTTTTGCCTGTAAGTATATTTTGGGCAGCTGAATTTGGATCATTATTCTGGGAAACTGGCCACCTACCCCTCCCCAAAGCCATTATGTTATCCTAAGTGAGAAGTAAGTGTTGATGTTGGCTTAGGAGAGGGGAAGGTGGGCAGTTTCCCAGAAACGTATGATTATTATACCTCTGTAAAGGACACACTAGCAAGAGTCCAGTGGGTGTCAACTAAAGATAGTTGATCACTTCACTTGTTCACACTCAGTTAGTACTTGTATTAGAACTGAGATGTTCTTTTCTTTTTCTCCCCTTTATTCAACTAGCAAACTCTGATAATAATACCATTCCAGAGTTTCCTTTAAACTTTAAAATTAAAGAGAGGAGTTAATAGAAACAAATATCATAAACTCTAACACCAAGGAAGACCAATTTACAGTTCCTCAACAACCACAGCCTCCACTTGGTTGTTGGGGTTCCTGTGGTGTATCTTTTAGTTTGACTTCTATGAGGTCATCTTTGTGTTTGTCTGGTGCATTGCTTTCCATTCCAGGTAATGCTGCAGCAACTCTTCTGAAGAGCTATTAATAAAAGCACAAAATAACACACTGAATGTTCTAATAACATGCAAAAATCTGAACTGACAGTGAACAGACAGGCTTACCAAGCCAAAGAACCTCAAAAATAAACCAAATAAGAAATGAAATAATAATATAACATTAAAGGGGCAAATTGTCCCACAGCAATGTTGTGCTCAGTTGCCTTTTCCCCTCCAAGGGCAGATCCAAAAAATTCCGAAAGGGGTGGCCGAGACACTTGCCCACTTACCAGCTATATAGATTCTTTTTATTTTTCTGAGAATTCTCTAATAATAATACAAAATTTCAAAAAGAAAAGGGATGGCCGCGGCCCTCTCGGCCCACCCCTAAACCTACCCTTTCCCTCCAAGGTTCGAATAAAGTCTTGTATGGTCATCTGGGACAAGTACATACAGATTTTCTTGCTGCACAAAAACTTCTCTAGGCGAGTCATCTTTTAACTACATGTAAGATTTTAAACTAAGCAGGGCTGTCAAAACGTTTTTAAGTAGCAGGCTGATAATGAGTAGTAGGCGGCTTTGGAACTTGCACCAAAGTTACAAGTTCTTGAGGGCCACGATATCTAGGGCCATTTTAAAAATTAGAGTCTCGGAAATGGCGTTTCCAGGGGTTTTCAAGAGGTATTTTCCACTACGGACACATGTTGTTTTGTCAGAATACAGGCAAAACTGGGAACAATGCTGTTGAAACGTCCCAGGCGTTCCACAACATTGTATGGTTCGAACGTTCCACAGATCTAAACCTGTTTCAATATGCATTCAATGTCATTCAAATCTGAGAAACAGATGCTTTATAATAATATTTTATTTGACGGTGCTTATTTTTTGTTAGCAGTTATGGTAGAAGAAGATGAAAGTAGCCAGCTAAGGATGGCTAACTAGCCAGCAGTTTTGGTCTGCTACCAGCCCTTATTGACAGCCCTGACTAAGACAAGCAAACAATGGGCTGGGAAGCAAAATGTTAAAGCGGCTAGTGCAAAGGGGAAGCTTGTTGTTCCCTTCCCTAAATTATACCCAAAGGCATCCATCCTAAGCAGGATCCTAGGTTCTGCAGCATTAAATTTCTGCACTGGAAAACAACTCTACTAACTACATCTTAGGTAAACAGTACATTCACACTAGATTAAAGAACAATTTTTCTGTTTTGTACCTGTTTTACATTGTATCCTGCCTTGGCGCTTGTTTCTATAAACATGACATTCAATTCTTTTGCTTTTCTTTCTCCTTCTTCTGTTGTTACTTGTCTGAATTAAGAAAAATTGGGAAACCCTTTTTGATTACACTTAATGTCAAGCCGTTTCATTATTTTTAAAGAATTAAGGAGCTGAGCAGGTTTGGCCCAGCCTGGGAAACTGCCAACATTTCCCGATGCCACCTTTGCTTTCCCCACAAAATGACGTCTGAATGACAGCAGAAATTCCATACTGATGACGGGTCACTACCCAGATCTGGGTAGTGCTTCTGACTGGTTGAAGCCAATTTTCAGTGGTAGGGTCGCAAAATGTTGGCTGTTTTCTCAGGCTAGGACTGGTCCAGCAGTGAGAGCACCAGCTTTCCTCCAATGTACCCTGATTTCAAGTCCTGGCATCAATGCCAGCGGTTTCTCTCTGAATACTACCGATTTCCTCTTTCTCCAAAAACAACATTCAACAGTCAAATACCATAAAATCCCATGTTCAAGTCCCCTGGTTTTAAGTCCCTCTGGATGAAAGCCCCCATTTATAAGCCCACCCAAAACCCCTTATGAAGTTATGTAAGCCCACGGCTTTAATGTGGGATTTTACGGTATTTTACTGCAAAGTGTCTCCAAATAGTAGTTTGGGGTATGCGGTGGACCACAGTTTTGTATATTGTAAGTTCTTGAAACTGTTAATTGGCACACTCTCTAAATAATGTTTTTTTTTTTTTACAACAACACTTTATTTCATATTTACATACAAAGGAAAGATTACAAAAATTGTAAAAAACTAGAAAAAAAAGTAGCAAAATTACAGTTTACAGAGTAGCCTCTCTAAAATTATAATAATGTTAGTTATTTTGTTTTTTACTATGAAATTATGACTGACAATAAAACAAAGATAAAACAAAAAATGGAAGTTACCTGACCTTTTGTCTGAGAGATCCGTCTTATTTCCAACCAACATAATAATAACATCGCTTCCTCTTTCTGTTCTCACATCATCAATCCATTTTGCTGTTTGCTGAAAGGAGTTATAATCTAGAAATAAATGACCAAAACTGTTCATAGAGAGGATCATTATATGTTTATATGAAACTGCCCACCTACCCCTCCCCTAAGCCAATTATATAAACACTTACTTCTCACTTAAGGCAAAATGTTGGCTTAGTGGTGAGGTAGGTGCGCAGTTTCCCAGAAACGTATAATGATCTTAATTTTCAGTCGAGCCTTTTGAAATTATTAGAGGAGGCACCTGGCTGAATGGTTGTCACATTGTTCCTTGAATTTGGGCCATCCACAGTCTGTTTTTTTTTCCCTTTGGAAATATCCAAAAGACTGGGAATGAGTAAAGGATGAAAGAAAGGCTGATGACATCATGTGAAGTCAGTTCGTTTACTCAGCCTTTGCTTCTGCACCTTCTTGCTACCTCACACTTGTCAGTTTTGTTGCATGATAGGGTGGAAATTTTTTTTAAGGCAAATTCATATGTTTAAAAAAAAAAAAAAAAGGTTTGGCAAGATTATTGAGGAGTTTAAATTTTGGATAGATATTTTACACATATTGTAGAACGAAAACCTACAAAGAGAAAAATTGTGTCATATACATGTTATGCCCCCATATCAACATAAAACTCTGGAGACTGATCTCCATACATTTCCTTCAAACATTAGTTGAGAGAAGCTGTTTAAAGCTCAAAGCAATTTTTTTTTACGCAGGGTGCAAAGAAAGTCAGTTTTACAGCTTGCCATTTGGGCAAGCTATAACTAGCATGTACTAGCCCGAAAGTCATTTCAACTAGTGCCAAACAAAATTGATCAGCAGGATTGACTACAGTTCTTCTGTTATTTGAATTCCTAAAGAAATATCACTTGCCCATCGGGCAAGTTAAAAACAGAATTCACTAGCCCGATAGCAAAATCCACTAGCCCCGGGTTAGTGGAGTGAGGGACATGGCTTTGACCTCACTGTGAAATTTAGGAGCTAAGTTCTCTGAAATGTCATTCCCTCATTTTAAGACCTATTTTATGCAAATCAGCCGCTGTTATCTTTAGACAACAATATAAAACATTTGATTTCAATAATGTCTTCAATAATGCTCTCTTTCCAAGATGTGTGGCCCATAAAATGAAAAGCTGTGCATACTTTAGTACATTTTTATATATTCATTCATTACCTTGATCGGATTGGATCACAACTTGCGTATTTTATAAAACAACTTATTTAATTTTAGTAAACTTTCAAGCGGTTGCAGGCAGTAAGAAGTGTTGCTTCAGACAGTAAATTTTACTGGTTACCACCTGATAAGGAGAAAACTGGGACTGGTTCGGTACACCAACATGGCCACCGTTTCATTGTTTTGGGACACCAATATGGTCGCCGTGCTGTGTTCTCCCTAACTTTTACCTCAGCAGGTTACGAACCATTCATAGCCACTAAGGTAAAGGTACCAAAGGTGCACTTTCCTGAGGGCAGGGGGGTAGTGAAGTGCAGGACATGGCCCCACCCTTGCTGGGAAATTTATGAGCTAAGTTCTCTGAAATGCCCTTCCGTCATTTTAAGACCTTTTTTTAAGTAAATTGGCCGTTGTTACCTTTACACAACAATTTAGAAACGGTTGATTCCAATAATTCTACTCTGTTCTGTTACAATGTTCTCTTTCCAAAATGGGTGGCCATAAAAAAGAAAAGCTGTGGCATGTGAGAATCGGATCGGATCACAACTTGTTTTTTTTTAACACTACTTCTTTAATTTTAGTAAACCTTCAAGTTGCTTCAGGCAATAAATTTTACTGGTTACCACCTGATAACGAGAACACTGCCATGATGTCATGTGAAAAGACTCTACAGCAAGGCAGATGAGTCAAGCAAAATTTAACAACTACATTACAAAGTAAAACTATCTAACATATTTACTTGTTATGTCATAAACTACAACAGCCACACTTGAGTCTCGTATGTAGCTCGGTATTAAGCTTCTAAATCTTTCCTGACCAGCTGTGTCCCAAAGTTGCAATCGAACCTGAACAAACAAGAAAAAAACAACTAAATTCAACAGGCTTGAGTGTTATACATGTAGGAGGCTCATAATGCAAAAGGCAATATTATAAGGTACTGTAAGTAAATGCCAACTCTAATCAGTGACTGTCACCTTTTCCAGTAGTAAAATCATTATGACTATAAAAATCATCAACTATCCTTAAGAAGCACCTTGGTTAACAGAATCTACTACTAGAACCACCCAGTTTTTAAATTAAAATAACTCATAACCTTGTCCTGCCTATTTTATAGAGTAATAAGTAATTTAACAAGCCTACCGTTCTGTCTTCTAAGTACATTGTTTTTGACAGAAAGTCTATTCCAATAGTGGCCTGAAAAGAGGGTTGCAATAATTAGCACAAACATAGAAAATAAATAGTAATAACCAATGATTATTACTTAGTCAAGGCTATGCTCTAACAGCACCCAGGGGCCCCTGGCACCTAATGATTGCTCCTGGGTTGCCTCCAGGTGACTAGAAAATCTTACTTTTTTAAAATATAAAACATATGCTAGGCACCCTGGATTACACAGAGCACTGGGCTGCTTTCAATTTTCCTTAGAGCAAAGCCTTGAAAGAGGTTTGAGATTATTAATTTGAAATAAAGGACCAGTAAAACTTTGGAATTTCAACATATTTATGTCCATAGAACCCTTACTTTTTTTAACTGCCAGTCAGCACATTACTAAGAGACTAGACTTCAAGCAACATCCCTTTATGCGAAATGCGCAATAGAAGAAAATTGTCACATGTACAACTAGAGACAGGAAAAAAAGAAAAGAGAGAGACTACTACCAAAGCTGGAATGAATCACCTTTTATTGTCAAATAATTTTTGGGTACAAATTTGAAATCTAGACTATTTTGATAATGCTATAGGCATAACCAATATTGTAGCTTCTCATTGTGCACGGAAAACATAATTCATTCACCCTGGCTTTTGAAGCAGTCTCTTCTTTTTCCTCCTGGGTTCACAACATTATTTCTTGTAGATTGCAGAAGTGTCAAACCCCAGTAACTTTGAAGAAAAACAAGCGTCTGCTTGCAGTCTTTTAAGAGACAAAGGGATAAGATAGTGATAAATATAAGGGATTTGCCTTTTTTCTTTATACTTATCAGTCTTATCCCCACAAAAAGCTCATTTTGTGTACAAAATAGAGTTAACAACACTGATAATGTATAGTGGCAAAATGTGGTGCTTTGACAAGAACTGCTACAAGAGGGAGAAATATATTTTGTTGCTTTTGAAAAAGAGGACAAAGGAAAAAACAACAATTTATCACAAACATCCCTTTAACCCTTTCATTCACAAGTTTCTGGGAAGGAAAAGGCTGCTAATAATACTACCAACAAAGAACTTATTTATGATGTAAAATTGACATCATAGTGAAGTTATCTATGTAATATCATAGGTGACGAATTACCCCTTAATTTTGGCGCAAAATTTCAGCGGTAATTTGTAATTTCACATGTGAAATTACAAAATTGCCATGGCAACCCTTCCGTACGTCTCAGTGTCAAGATGGCGACAAAGTTTTAAAAAGCCGTGAATGAAGATGTAATAAATCCTAATAATTTCCCTCGCCTGAAGGCTCGGGAAATTATTAGGATTTGGACAAAACGCAAGTGAAATTATTCCCTAATTAATTCACTCGTCACCATTTGATTACACATACTTATATAATTATAGTAACAAGATGTCAGCTCTTTAGGATTTGGTGCCAATATAGGTAGCTAAATTGAAAGTACAGCAGAAATGATTTTTGCATAATGTTCACCAGCCTATATTATCATCTCTTACATCACCACTTATTTGCATCTAATCTATGTCATTTTTATTTCCTTTTAGAGTTGTCAAATTTCTGCAATTTGCAAAGTTTAATTTGTGAAACTTCCATGAGAAATTACCAGAATTCAATAAATGGATGTTTACTTTAGAGCATTACTCTAATAAATTCTCATGAAAAAAAATAGTATTGTATCAACTGAACCAAACCTTCTACATGATCTGGTGATACAGCTGCATTTTAACTCAATTTTCGTATTAAATAAAATTGTCGATCCAATAATCTATCAATTCCAAAGGCAATATTGACCGTTAGGGTTAGAATGCAGAATATCTGAAAGACAATACCTAATACTATTCTGAAAAAATGCAAGCTTTGTACTGATTATAAACAGACTTGAAGCCAGCGATCGATGTCAGAAACATCAAACGCCGGCTGCAAATTTGTAGAAGACCGATCGATTTCTCACACTTACTTGATAGGTGTTGTCAAAGCTGTCATACATGAACCTTGTTATAAGAGAAGTCTTTCCCACTGAAAAGCAAACCATATCACTTCTATTTAGCCCGAGAGTTCAAAACACAATCTGGGCAGGCACTTAATTATGCTAAAAAGTACACTTTTCACAGCTGACTTTTCGAACACCCTGAAATTTACGATCTCCATGAGTAAGTTGACACTACTGCAAACTTACCGCTCTGTTCACCTAAAAAGACCAACTTGAATTTTCTTAGAGGATTACCAAAGTCCGACGACATGGCTTCTTCAAGAAATAAGACAACAATATAGTGCAAGCTCAGGAGGTCTTATTTTAGTACCGAAGTTTGTGGTATTTATATCATTGAACTTTCGATCGAAGCCACGTCGAAAGATGTAACGGCATCTGCGCTTGCGTAAAGCGTACTTTCCCGCATGACGTCATTCAATAAGTAGCCAAGCCTTTATTTGCTTGGGCAAAATGAAAATGGCGGCAGTTTTGAAAACATTGCAAGAAGAAAATTCCCTTGATTTGTTCATTTTGTATGAAAATGATAGTTTGTTTATCAGATATAAAGACGGAACATCAGTTGAATTGTCTCCTTGTGGAACAGCTTTTCTCCACCGCGAAGCAGCACCTTGTAAACGTAGAATGAAACAGCTGACAAGATTCGCTGTCAGTTCATTCCGAACTAAAATAATCGAATCTGTCAGTATTCGTAACTTGTTTGCGGTCAGACCATATCTCTGTAAAGAACTGACCTCTCAACACGAACTTAAGGTGAGTAGTTCTGCACGTGTTTGCCGAATTTTCCTTGATCAAATAATACGTGAAATTTTTAATCCATATTACCCGAATTTCCGGACATTTTCCGACAACTTCCGAACTTTGCCGAAGATTCCCAATTATGATCAGATTTAGGGTTAAGGTAGCTGATGCTGGAAGGGCAAGATTTCTGAACAGCCCCATTAATTTATAGGGCTCTGAGGGATTATTACCTGCACAAAGCCTGAAACATGATGTTTTAGATGGTTACGGCAAAAATATGACACTTAGCATGTTGGTCTGGGCCGGGTTGTTTAAAACTTGGGTAAGATAGGGTTAGTGTGAAATTTGAATTCACGTATGAAAGCTTAAAAAGCAAATTCAGGTTAATCCTTTTTGTCTACAATGTTTTGATACAAGAAAATGCATGTCAAAAACTCCAGCCAACTTTGCAAACATGTCAATGTTGAAACAAGCCAAAGTAGTTCCTGGCTGAGGACCTGCAGCCTGCGTAGCAAGCATTTCTAATGAACTCACTTGGAAACAAGTTTGTTACTTANCCGGGTTGTTTAAAACTTGGGTAAGATAGGGTTAGTGTGAAATTTGAATTCACGTATGAAAGCTTAAAAAGCAAATTCAGGTTAATCCTTTTTGTCTACAATGTTTTGATACAAGAAAATGCATGTCAAAAACTCCAGCCAACTTTGCAAACATGTCAATGTTGAAACAAGCCAAAGTAGTTCCTGGCTGAGGACCTGCAGCCTGCGTAGCAAGCATTTCTAATGAACTCACTTGGAAACAAGTTTGTTACTTATGCTAGGGTAACTGAGATCATGGGTGCATTCCTTTGGGGTGATATAGATCTGGGTCAGTGATCTGAGATCACTTAGATCGTGGTGCTTAAAAGGAACCAATGAATTCACTCTAGGTAAGGATTCATCAGTACAACACACTGTACCTTTGATATGCCATCATCTGAGTGACCTGGGATCTCTGATTCTGATTGGTATCATCCAAAAGGAATGCAACCCATGTGTTAGCATGTACATCATGTTGCAATGGTCTGGTATGAGGAAGGATAAAGAGTTTTGTTTCATGTCCAAATTACAGTAGCAAGCTCTCCTGAAGCTCTCCTGACAAACGCTCTTGTCGCTGCAACAGAAAGGGCTACTTACAACTGCCTTCACAAAACCCTGTTTTCCTCGACTGCCATACAAACTCTGTATTTTTGCATTCCCATAAGCAGCCAGCTCCAGTTATGTACCCCTTTTTGATGTCCCAAGGGTGTCCACTCACAAGAGCTTCCATTGTATTTTGATTATAATGTAATTTACTGAAATCTACTGAATAACACCTCTCCCCCACTTTTTCTGCATAAATGCATACTTCTAGGATACACATACAGATACTCTGTTTACAGGTATCCTTTACCATTTTGTGAACGAGGATCATGAGGTTATCTCTACATTATTTTTATTTTAAGATTTCTCCTTACAGATAACCCACCCAGCCCAGAAAGGGTTGGCCACACCACAGGGTCTACGTCCCCTACTCTTTTCGAAAAGTGGTGTGGGTTCTTTTACGTCGTACAAGAACAGATATGTGAACGTGCTGTGAGTTGGGACCTATGGTTTTTCATCCTTATCCAAGAAGGCTAGAATGTCTAACAATTTGTAGATGTCACGGCAACACTTTCTTCTCAGGCCCTGAGTGTTGGTCTAGCTGGGATTACACCCGTGACCTTCCCCTCAGCAGACTAGTGCTCTCCCAACAAAGCTAACCAGGATACTTCATTATTGAAGCATGTTGAACATGACTTGTATGATCATAAAGTAAAACCATGGTAAAATTTTTTTGTACCACATATTTACCAGGCCTGCCATGTTAAAAGCTTATCTTTCCACCCTTAACAATCCTAGGTTGGTTACCATGGTATCACAGAATGTCATTGGTGTGATCAACCTGCTAAAGACTTTGTTACACTGTTGTCTGATGGCTCTGCTTTCATGGAATCTCTTGATGGTTTAGCAAGCTTAACACTTTTGCCTCACAGGCAGGCATTTGTCGTGAAGTTTCTTTGTGAGGTCAAATATCCCTTGCCAAAGGTAAAAAAACAAATTAAAATGTCTTCTATGCAGATAAAATATAGGGGTTTAAGGGTCAGTTTAAAGGCCATCAAAATGGCCATAGCAATTTGGCTGGGCCATATTTCAAGCACTTTGACCAACAAGTGGTTTGGTGGTTCACCAGTTTTGAAAAGTGTTGAAAGAATCAGAAAATATATACTTTGTTGTGGCTTGGTGGCTATTCAGTCTTCATCGGTGAGATTTATTGAAAAACATATAAAATTATATCATTAGAGGATATTACTTGTGTTTAAATATTACCAGTATTCACCACTCGAAGAGAAATTTTGTATCTCCACGCCGCTTTTTGTTCCCCAAATTAGTTTCCACTTACTGTGCATTCAAACTTTAGCAGAACTCTGTGCAAAGGTACAAAAAAAATGGTAAAACTATGGTTGGGAATATCGCCAACTGCACACTTCTGCAGATTAACCAAGCAGCAAGAAACACTGGGAGCCCAACAAGAGTAATGGAATTAAATACACCTGCAGGTCAGGTGTCACTTCTACTTGATACTTCAGTAGTTTTAACATCACAAATTGGAGGTCTGCCTTTAGTTTGACCATAAAAAGTTTATTATCTTTAATAGAAAACAAATGATAAAGGTTTAGAGGGACAGCAGCAGAAGCATTATTACACTTGGCAAGAACAAATCCATTCATCATCCTCATGTCCTGAGCCATGGCAGTACCCACTTCAGTGTGTAGTTGATGTTGTAAATAATGCAGAAGAATCAACAGTCTGTCCTGTTGGCAGTAATACTGTAACAAAAGTACCATCCTCTCTTCCAATCACTTGCAAAGCTGCTCATCTTCACTCATGGAGTGCCCAGGTATGAGATCAGAACTTGAACAACTAAATGAATGAGCCCTTACATTATCTTATAAGCATGAGCTTATTAGTTTGGGGAAAATTTTAGGGCAAGCTGGTGAAGCTGCCCCTTTTGAGGTGTTAAGATACAATGCAAGCATCTATTCCATCCCTTTTCCTCACCCCATCCTTCTTGCTAACTTTAGTCAAAATTTTCCCTGAGATTGCACAAGTGAGTCTGCTTGAGGACTAGATGAGCATGCACCCTTTTTAATCAAGGAAACATCAACTGCATTTACAGTCAACCTACATTAGAGTTTACCTCTTTACCTAATAAAGAGCAGCCAAAAGTAAAAAAATGTCACAAAAGAAATTTTATTTTCTGCTTTGCTTGTCAGATGGTACCAAGTGAATGCTTGGATGTTGAAAACTGGGAAATCTTCTGGCAATCAAACATGAGAGTTATTTGGAAAGGTGGCATTACCTATAGGTGTGTACAAGCTGCCCCTTTATACTAGTGCAGGGCTAAAAAAAACTTTAATGCAACCTTGTCCTTCGGGCAAGCAGCTCTGAAATCTTGCTTTCCCAAGGCCACTTCTTGCTTATCTTAGTTAATGATTTTGTTCAAGAAAGACTAGCCTGGATCTTTCCCATTAGGCAAGTAAGTTTTAAAGGTTATACTTGCCCAACAAGAAAAACTTCTTGTCCCAGACTACAAGACAGGATTTTTTTGTGCCCTGTAGAGGATACTAAATTGTTACATACAATGTAGCTGCAGCAGATGCATGGTTATCCTACCTGAGAACTATTGCCGGCTCCCATGATTAGTGTTTTGGTTGCCTTTCTCCTCAAGTACATGTTCATACTGACAACTTAAACTATCCCCAATTCATACAAAGGTGAGTGTTTGTATCCCCATATTTCCCTTGGGATTTGATTAGCTAGAGTATTTAATTTTGTGTTAAGATTAATACCTTAAGAGACAATCAGTGTTGCATTCTAGATTAAAAGTAATGTATGTACAGTTGACTCTCGCTTAATGGATACCTCTTTAAGACAGACACCCTGTAAAATGGACACTAAGAGTTGGTCCCTGCATTTCTTTACTCCATTTATTTGACTCTCTGTAAGATGGACATTTCTCTAAGACAGACACATAAAGTGCTGGTCTGACATATACACCTAAATCTTTTCTTTTTTTTCTTAGTTTGTTGAGTGTACACTTTTATATATTTTCACACTCAGCAAACTAAAAAAAAGAAGAGCTGCTCATATTCGTAACACAATACAATCTCTTACAGAATATTCCCTCAGGCAACTGGTTTATTTACTGTAGAGATTGATCCTGGAGATGGCTCTATAATGAGATCACAATCACCATGTTCTAGATACTTTAATCACTGGATTGTTCAATATCATCCACTGCAGGTACAATTGAAAGAGTTCAGATTAATAGCATTAATTATTGAATATTCATATACCGTAATTTATTATTGTTTTGTTTTGCGTAGTGCCATAAGCATCATTGGAGTATGCCACTCTATTACTAGACTTTAATTTAACTTCTAATGTGTATGAA